TCACTTGCAAGCAGTAAAAGCCAGCATGATACATTATAGTACGCTCGTTTGTACATTTGCCAGAGAGGGAATAAAAAGGTGTGGGCTAAATTTGTGAAATGAGGAATGTAAGTGCACATCAGAAAGGATTAGTCAGTTTTCACCCTTCTTTGAATATTTGTGGTGTTTTTACTAATGCCAGAGAACAACTAGAGCAACTCTTGTGTCATTTCTTCTTCAAACAGGCCATTATATTTAAGCCTGAAACCATAGGAAAACTGCTCACATTCCCTGTGATGCTAATGAGGAGGCAGGTTGAGAAGGAATCCTATGCAGAGGAAGAACTGGAAGCCGCCTGCTGCTTTTAAGACTAAATTTTAGAAGAAACTACTTTTGCTGGAGAATTTCACAGGATGCACAATATCCTAACTTGCATTAACTTGATATTCAGCTGTTGCTAAGCCTTAGTTCCTCATGTGTGACAGCATTTGTGCTTGACACTTTGCAGCTGTAGAGATGGGGTTTGTACAGGATGGGGCCTGGTGCTGCCTCCTAAGTTAAACAAAATGGATCTGATGGCGCCTTAGGATACACTTGCTTTCCTGGCTAACTCGGAGAGGCAGAAGAGCTAGATTTCTAATGTCACTTCTGATTCTAACATTATCAGGTACCTAGTATGCACCAGGCTGTCACAGCTCTCAAGGAGCTTCCGTTCTCCTGGAGGAAATGGAAGGTGTACATTAATAGCCACCAGTAATGTCCCACTTCAAGGTTTACAGACTGTTTCATGCTTCGGCTTTGATTATCTCCAGTTTACACATGAGGAAACTGAGGTTAAAGAGACTGGTCTCTCCTGCCTGAGTGTCAGTTGAGTACTTTTAGTCACCACACCACATTGCCCCTCCAAGGAGTGAATGAGGCAAAGGGGAGATGTGTCCTAGGAATATTGGAAGAAGCGAGGCCACTACCAGAGGAGTGCCCCATCCTTGAGGCACTTGGGCTGAGCCCTGAAGGCAGTCCAAGAACCTGAGGGACACAGGAGGATGGGCACTGCAAGCTTAGGACGGCCTGTGCGGATGTGGAGTTAGGTTCAGGATCAGCTAGTCACCTAGTTGGACTAGGAACACAGTGTCTCAGGAAAGAAGGCCAGAAAGCAGTGGGGGAGGGTCTTGTGTTTTATCCTATGCCTTGGGAAAATTCCAGCTCTGTGTCTTTGATGGGTCTGACCTCATCCAGGTGGGCATGTCTCCCAAGATGCAGCCTCGGCTGTGTCCTCAGTCTGTGTGAGGTCTCGTGGTGGCAGGGAGGGGCAGTGCTTGTTGGGGATGGTTGGTGAGAATCTACCCAGTGGCCCGCTCTGTGGGCACTCCTTGGATTCCCTGAAGGCTCTTAAATGGTGTTGGGAATAAGCCTCATGTCTGTAGCACAGACTGCATTTTCATGTAGAAACAAGGTTATAAATGGTGGTTGGTTTTCTAGGATTTCATAAAATCCTAGTGACCCTATAATGAAGTTTCACTGTACTACTAATTGTGTAATAATGGCCATGGCACTTTGATATTTGCAGAGTATCTCATTTGGTCTTCTCAGTAATCCTGTGAGGTAAGTACTACAGGTATCGTTTCCATTTTGCAGATGAGGAAACTGAGGCTCAGAGATAAATTGACTCAGTGGTTACACAGCTAGGACGTGTTTGAGGTGAGAACTGAACTCCTATCTCTCGAAATACCAAAGCCATTGTTTGTTGCTTCATACCCAACTGTATCTCCCTGTACCCATCCTATTTTTTTCTGTGGGAAAATTCGTTGAGTTCCAGCTAGGGCTTAGTTCTTTCTTTCCTGTCATAGATCTAATGAGGAGTATCTCATTGATGAATATCCTGGAAAAATGAGGAGAGGTGGGGAGGGTGAACACAGAGGTCAAAGTTTGGCAAACTTCTCTTTCCTCCCTAGTCTGGAGGGATATGGGACCCATGGGATGTCTTCAACCGCTTTTGGTATGAGGGTGGCTCATAATTCTGGTCACATTTGCACAGGGATGCATATTGTTCATAATTAAAAATTAAATGTATCTAGTAGAGGTTTCTTAAGTAGTCTTGTGTAAATGCTGTCTCTAATGCTGTCTTTATGAATTTTGCTTTTTTTTATCTTATTTTTTTAAACCACTTGCTAGGTAATTCTATATAGGTAACAATATATTGTTGTTTTACTTCTTTCTTGGAAATACTATTTTCAAAAAGTACCAGAAATAGGGTAATAGCTAATTTAAAGTTACTCCAATTTTAAAGGGATACTCTTTATTAGATCTGTTGAATATATTTAATTTTTAATTATCTATTGCCATTTTTTTACCACTAGATAATATTAAGGTTTTTAAAGTTCTCATTGAAGCTATTTATACAAGCATTAAAATTAATTTTTGTTTGTTAACCTCTTTTCAGTTCTTCTGTTCCTCCTCTTCTACCTCTTGCCCCATTATATAGTATAAAATTATAATGTTTTGCTGGTTGGTGTGTGTAGGAAGGAACTGACTTTGGAAATTTCTTTCATTGAGAGGAGGTTGCCCCCCCCTTTCCATTAGGTTAAGCCATTTTTTATTTTAAAATTTTGAAACTTAAATTGTTAAGAAAAGTGTGCATAATTTAAAAAAATATATACTTTGCTAGATTTGTAGTTATTTTATTTATTTGTATTTATATATTATGTATTAATATATTTATAACTATATATATAGTTAAGATTTCTACTTTCTGCTTCAATCACACATTTTGCTAGTCTTCTTTTTTTTTGCTTTCTGGTGAGGCAACTGGAGTTGAGTGACTTACCCAGGGTCACACAGCTAGTAAGTGTCAAATGTCTGAATCCAGATTTGAACTCAGGTCCTCTTGACTTCAGGGCGGGTGGTCTTACCCACTGTGCCATCTAGCTGCCCCTCCCTAGTCCTTTTCATGTCATATCTTAGACTATCAGGGGATGGATATTAGTGTTAAAAATCTGCAAAACTTCCTTAAAAATTTTGGGTATTTGGCTTCTATCAGAATAGAACAGCACATTTTTTTTCACAGTCTTTTTCTTTCAGTTCTTAAATGCATTGCTTTTGATTGTGCAAAACACTATAATTATCTATCATTTCTTCTGTTTGTTGAATAGCTAAAACATTCCTTTCTATGTATGGAACATTCTATTCTAAAATTTCTTTTTAGTAATTCATTTGGAATATATTGTGATGTATAGTGTGAAATGTGGCTCTAGATCACTTTTTTGTTTTTCTTTTGACCAGCCTACTATTCAATTTTGACAAGGTTTTATTGGATAATGAATCCCTTCCCTTGTGTTTGTGGTCTTGGATTTTCCAAATGCTAGTTTTATCATGTGTTTGTGTGGCATACTTGAGTATTCACTTTCTATCTTTGGGCATTCTACATTGGGTCAGATATTATAACATATTTTAAAGCTTTACGGCCAAGGTATACTGGCTCACCTTTCAGCATAACCCTGGAACTGAAAATATTACCTAAGTTTTATTCACAAATACAGATATTCTGGTCACACTTAAACAAAGGTTATAATTAGCAAACTTCAGTATCCAAGCAATATAGTCACCTCCCTTTATTATTCCTAGCCTTACCCAAATTTTCAAAAATACTGCTTATCCATAGGTTCAAAAATTTTCTCCAAACATCTACATTCTTTCATTTGCAATTTTCTTCTTTAAAACATGAAGTTTTAAACTGAAAATGGCAATAATTTTTCATGTCTTCTATGTGATACCTTGACAGTACAATCCAAACCATTATTTTTTCATTTTTAAAGTTTCATGTAAACCAGAGATAAACGAGTAACTGAATTAGAATTAAGATTCTAGCTCCTCCTTGTGGAAGAAGTAATTAACACCATGTACTAAGATGCAGTCTCTTCTCACCAGAAGAAAAAGCACTTATCTATTGAGATGGTGTGAAAGAATTTTGGACTTATCATCTAAAGAATCTTCTAAGAAAAGTTCTTTGTATCTTGGAATATGCCAATCACAGTGGCAAGTCCTTTGATATGGTCCAGGTTCTTTGTTTTTCAATAATCCTCAAAGTTTACAAGTTTCTTTGAAAAGGAGATGGTCAAGAAATGGATAGATCTAATAATAGCTCACATTTTATCCAGTGATTTCCAGACTGCATTCAAAATTTAAGTAACGCCTCTGAATAGGCAATGCAAATAGAAAATTTCACTTAATGCTGACTAATGCAGCTTACAAAAGTGACCCTTGAAGGAGCTCTCATGTTTCAACCTCTGGCCTTTTGTGGTTAAGGTTAAGAAAGCTAGACGTGAGAAAGCTGTGTATTTTCTCCTTGTCCACTTAGGACTTCCTTTAGGCAATGGACAACAGCCATCTGCTTTAGGGGTTACCTTATACTTAGAACTGGAATTTTTTCAGTTGAAGGCATAGAAAATAAGTTTATTCATTCCCTAATACCTACCATTCTAGTTCAGTTTGATGACTAACAAAGTTTCTATTTAAATAGTGGTACTGAGCAGGCAAGACAGTAAGGTCAGGATATTGTCCAAAGAGGCAACGTGTTCTGCTCAGGAAGGAAGCCAGGTTAAGCTCCTGCACACCCCGATGTGTTGGGTGTTGTGACTTGCTTATTTTTTTCTTGTTAGTGGAGTATACAAGATGATTTAGCTGTCTCAAGGAAAGAAGGCTGCAACATTGACAAGACATTATGGAATCTAGAGGGAAATCAGAAGGGAGGCCTATAGTGTAGTAGAACCATTCTTTTTCAGTGCGCCTATTGGCTTGTTTTTTTAGCTCCCGTTCAGTGCTTAGGTCAGCCTAGCAGCGTTATCTCTCATTTCTTTTCCATGCAGAGGCAACCAGATACCAGTGTCATTTGCACATCAAGGTTCAGGAAGCCTATGGTATGCATACTGATGGCCAGAAACCTTATTAGCACATTCAGACAGAGGCAAGTAATGGCTACTTGGCATAATTGGCGCAGAGTTCCAAACCAAAGAAAACCAGTGCTATGCAAATAAGAATTTGTATACTTTTATGTAGAAATGTACCACTGTGTAGTCCAACAAAGTAACCCTTATTTTGTTTTGAAGTGACCTCAAATAAAGGATAAAGCAATAGCCATGGACATGGGGAGATGTGTAACATTAACTTCAGTACTTCCCCTCCACTGAAGCCATTATCTGGCCCTCAAGACTGGGTTAGTCCCTTTTGTTGTGATGTATACCTCTGGGTAGAATGTTTATGATTCGGTCATTTGTGTGCATGCTAGAGAATTCCCAGTGTAAGGGTTATTTCTGAAGCACCCTCTTTCTCCCTCCTCCTCTAAACAAAACAAGCCAGTAAAGGTTCTTGGGACAGCTTACTGGAAGACGTTGTGGAAGCGGGCCTGCAGAAATTTTTATTTCCCATCATCTCGCAAGAAAGGGAGGATAAGAACACTATTTAATCAAAAGTGATCATCTTTAATGTTCCTGTTCTCCTTGTTTATAATGACAGTGGAAAACAAAATACTTGTTTCCTTCCTCCTCACACACTCCCAGAGATGGAAATAAAAGAATGGATCTAGGCTCTCCCTAACTCTTAACTCTTAAAATTGAACTCCCTTAGCAGGGTAGGATGAGTGCCAGACTCCTCGGGGCTCAGAAGGGAGGCTTGACTGGATAGTTAAATTAGTGGAAAAACACTTAGATGGCTAAAAGGGGGCGGGGTGTAAAGGTGGCTGCTCCAAGGGAAGAGCAAAGCATTTTGGGCCCATCTATTCCTATTGGAACCTAATTTTCTGGAAGCAGATCTTGTTTGCTTACATAATGGTTTTCTCATCTCTCAGGAGGCTTGTCTTGCTTATCAAAGCCTGTTATTAGCCAGCCCATTCTGTTTAAGGTTTGGTGTTTTGTTTTTCGTGTTTATTTCAAAATATGATCCACATAGTCCTTAGAAGTAAAAGAATCCACATGGAGGCTCATCATTTTTAGGCTCTAATCCCCTTTAAAAATGCATTTTATGGCACCTAAAAGGATAAGTAGCATTTCCTGTGTTTATGAGAGCAAGAAGAGTGAAGACTTGTTATATAAGATTCTCTTAGTTTCTTCAGTTGGCAGATTCCATTGAAAGCCTTGGATATCTAAAAAAGCAAAATGATAGGGAGGAGAAGGTGGAGGAAGAAGGGAGGGAACCCTGGCAAGCCAGTTTTCTGTATAGTTGAATAAACCTAGCCATCATGTGTTCTTTATCTGTTACTATTACATTTTTACCATTTGCAGTGACTGTCCACAAAAAGGGGCAGAAGGTAGGATAGTTCAGTCTGCAGTGACTTCCCTCTTGCTTTCCAGGTCCTCATCTAGATAATTCTGAATAGATGCCCAATTTGTGAAAGGAAGGGGTGTCAAAAACCTCAGTGCTATTGAATGCTACCGCCAACTATGGAAACAGAATTTGTTCCAGTTTGAGTTAGTTTTATCTCAAAAGATACTCCATGAGAGAATCCAGAGTTGACCGCTTCTCATTAGTTTTTTGTTTTTCATTTGTTTCAGTCATGTCTGACTATGTGACCCCCATTTGGGGTTTTCTTGGCAAAGATAAAACAAAACATTTCCTTTTCTGGGTCATATTATAGATGCATAAGGGATTCTCCAGTAAAAATGGTAATTCCCACCACCATTGCTTGACTAACAGTTCAGGTAAGTCTAAAAGACTTAAGAAAGAGGTGTGAACACCATGGTGAAGAATTCAGACAGGATGTTAGAAGTGAACAGGCCTCACTGCCAATCCAATAGGAGAGAATTGACATTCATTAGACCAGATGAGCATGTGACGAAAATAAGTTTCAGATAGGACATCATTTAAACTGACTTTGCACTTAATTTTTCAAATACTCAAGTTTTGCCAATAGTGAGCCAAGAACATGGGATACATAGAGAAATAACTGAGAGAACCCAATATAATCTTTTTCATGGATGTCAGACTGATCAGACTTGCCCTTTTGGTCAAACGTGGCGGAGGGCTAATCTTGATGTGTTCTTAGCTGCTTCAACTCGGTGTACAAAGGAAGAGATATTTATTTCTGTGTGCTGTGTCAATCTAGGAGCAGTCCATCTTTACATTTTGGTCAATAACTGTTAGTAAAAATCCTTTTAATTGTAATTATATACTGGGTGTTCAACAGTTTACATAACTTGAGCATCTCCTGTTCAGATACCTGCAAGGTTTTCCCCCTGACAATCCACTGTAGTGTCCTTGCCTGTAAAACCTATTATTTTGTGTTTGTGCCAGTTTCAGCTGAGTATCATTGGTATCATGTAGTATTGCATGGAGCCTCTCGTGGTCATGAAAGGTGGCTTAATTTGTGTGTGTGTATGGTCATTAATAGGAATGAATTATGTATGTATGATACTTGAATAATAGAAAGGAGTTTGGTAAATGATCTTAAAATAAATTTACTCAGACAATCACACTTCCTGTAGAGGTTTTGAAACAAGGGAATTTGTGAACCTTAAAATGAAGCTAGGCTAGCCAAAGGATCTTAGAGAGTGTGTTATTTCACATATGTGGATTTGTCGCTTCATGATCTGGACCTCTGTCAGGCTCTGGCCTTGACCAACAAATTCCTCTTCCAGCCAGCTCTCAGCTTCCATGTAGGAGCCTTTGATATGAGCAATAGGTTCTTAGAGACAAATGGAGTGTGTGCCCTTATGATGACGAGAAATGTTCTAGCTCAGATGAACCTATCATTTATGAAAATCCCAGGTGTAGAAAGGCAAGATGTTGTTCAGTAGACTCATTTAATTGCTCTGAGTAGCCATTCAGGGACTCTGAGATAGAGAAGTGACTTGAAAATGCAATGTTCACCTGCTTGAGCCAAAGGAAGGCACACTGTGCTCTTCTTCATTTCATTGTAGGATTTAGCTTGGGGCTACTCCTGGGTGGTTAAGTGAAAGGACTCCAGCTGTAATTCTCATGCTACTGAAGAGCAAGGGGATGCTGACAGTAAGTTGGGAATGAGGCAGTGTATAACAAAACATAATGAGATGGATGGATAGATCCATGAAGAACTTAACTTGGTATGAGGGTGAAAGCTTTGAGTCAACTACCAACACTTAAAAATGAGCATTTTCATACAGCGACCAGGGCACAAATCCGGTCTGTCCCAAACGTAGTGTTAGAAGTGAATGGGTTTGAGGGAGTCATTTGTTATGGGTTTTGTGTGTGTGTGTGTGTGTGTGTGTGTGTGTGTGTGTGTGTGTGTGTGTGTGTGTGTGTATGTATGTATGTATAAATGAAACTATCCAATCTGTAGTTTGGTATCCTGCAATAGGTCTGTCCACCCTTACAAGCAAGAAGAAACTTTGGAATATTCTTATAGAATCCAGGTTACTTAAGTACCCTTAAAGAAGCCAGAGTGAAGGAAGAGTCCCAAAGAAAGGAAACAGAATGCTAGACAGCTATGGTATGACTTTTTCCACCAAAAGTGAACTGAATCACACAGAGGCAGAAATGTAATCCACCCCATAAGAGGATCAAGTTCAAGATGGGGGCTAAGGGGGTGGGGTATGGGGAAGAGAGCTTTTCATGAGGGTTGCCTGATAGGGGATCTTGGGTGATGATTCTTCTGCAACCAGAAGGAAGAATGGACTGGCAAAGTGACAACAGGTTGCAATTTACTAGCTATTGTAATCCTAGGCATTTGCTGTGTTTCGACCTCATTTCTCTTTTATCTTGAAACTCCTAATTAAAAACAGGCTACGGTCAATGATCTAATAACACATAACAGCTCTGTGACATCTGGCAGAATAAGGAAAGGGTATATGTAAAATAGATCAGGCCCATCTTAAAAACTTTTGGCACTCATTCTTCACTTAGTAAACCACCTCCTAGTTGAATGTAAAGATGGGTAGACTTGGTATCAGACCTATACTTTAAACAGCATATTTGTGAAATCATATGTGGCTTACTTCAAGTTAAAGGGAAAAAAACCACCCAAATAACCTGTTACAAGGTTCCAGGTACCATAAAAATACTCTAAATCAAACACAACAATCAGTGGGTCTTGAATGTACAAGAAAGATGCCCATTTCACTCTCTTAGAACGCTAGAGGAAAAATAAAACTTTGTCATTACAATACTTCATATAGAAAATGGTGGGCATCTCTGTTCATGCAATATTTTATCAGTTTTAAAAACCCCATACCAAACACCAAGCCACCCCCAAAACTAACAAAAGAAAAAAAGACAGTTTCCCAGATTTAAGCACCTGATCGCTGAGAGTCCTGGTTATGATTGCTCTCAGGTCTAGAGTGAGAATTAGCTTTAAGTTTGTAGGGGTGTTAATAGCAGTCTGTGGCCGTCTCCTTTGGGTACACACTGTCCCAATCTATACGCCTCTTGTTCTCAGATTAACAACACTATACATTTTACAGTTTAACGAGCATTTCAGTGTGATATCATGGTTCTTGGCCTACATTGTGTTCCACTTGACTTTTTTTTTCTTTAATTTTTGTTTTGGAGGTGAAAATTTAGTTGAGGACACACTGTAACCAGTGGTGTGCAAGCAGACACTGACAAATAGACACAGCAGTGCGATATTTGACCCACAGTATAAAAGGAAAGGCGATGGTGGAAATGAGGTAACTCTTCCCCAACGGGTGTGTACATACAACTCCTGCTCTTCTAATGCGCTACTGTCCATTAGGAGAGAGTAGGGCTTGTCAACATGATGATTACATAAAGAAGAAGCTACAGAAGAGAAAAAAGAGAGGTTCAGATTCAAATGCTTTTAAAAAGTAGCTTCTCTACTTTTTAAGCTGTGAAGGAATGAAAGTATGTCAATTAAAGGGATTTTCATCAAGCATGGCTGGAGTGTGGCTCAGTTAGCAGTATCAGGGGCTAGGGAGGAAGAGGATGCTGTGGCCATGAAAAGGGGCTGCGGGGTGTGATAGGAATTCTGGTCAGCACAGGGAGCAGGAGATGGGAACCAGGAGGGAGGGCAGCAGAAATGGTGTGCAAGGTACAGAACACCATGAAAGCCAACATTTTGGAGAAGTCGATGAAGCCAAAATAGTCATAGTAGATGAGCCAGACAAGGTAAGAAAAGATGAGAAGACTACTCTCACACTTCGTTTTCCAACTCTGATACACAGTACTACATAAAGAAATCACAGAGGGCACACAAAACACAACGTTTGGGTAAAAATATATTTCCCCCCTTCATGTCTTGGCACTATAGATATATGCATAGGTTACCTTTTCACTATCCCCCTACCTAACAAAATTGCAAAGTGATCAGTACTTCAGAAATGAAATGTTTGACATCAATACAATAACTTTAGTTTGGTTTTTTTTTTAAATTTACAAGTGTTTTAACATGCTGTGTACATGTCTAACAATATTGTATCAACACTGAATGGAAGTTACACAAGGTTTGGGAAAACATTGACTTTTTTTAAACAGCAAAGTGGCAAAAGTCTACTGCTACAGTTTAAGGCATATCAGCATATTTTTAAAAATTAGGAAACAGTTCTGCTCTTCACAGCTTTATTTTCAGTTCGTTTAAAAAAAAATTCCCTTCGTATTATCTCATATGCTAGGCTTTGGAGATGCCAATCCCACTAGTCGGACAAATCATCTCACAGGTGGCCTGCCAATGGAACCATGATTCTTAAGATTAGGAAACGTTACCTATTTCAGATGATGAAGAATGGCAGGGCAAAGTGACTTGAATGGACAGGATTGGTAGGACCACACAGAGACAAGTGGGCTTGAGTAAGTAACAGTAGAAAAACCTGACTGAACAGTCTATAAAACATTTTGTAGGGGTGGAGAGGGAAGGAGAGGAAGTGAAGGAACCAAACTTCTTGTTGATGGGGGTTGAAGGTGATGAGGGTAAGCAAATGTCTTTAGCTTGTGAGGTTACAAAGCAGGGAAAGAAGAAAAACAGGTAACTTGTACCTCTAAACTAATAAGCTAGTTCTACATCTCCCTTGGTCCAGGCATCACATTCTACTGTTTTTACAAATGTATCTGGATTGTAAAAACACGTTGAGTGACTCTCCTCATCACTTGTTGTTACACTCTATATCTCACTTGCTACTGAGCCATTGGCGTGAAAGTCCTCAAGGGAGCAAAATCTTGATCCAGAGGCAAAATGGTAGTCACTGCCAGCTGCCAAAACTCCAGCGATCCCATGAAAGGGCACTAATACTTCATGCTGAAGATACTGCTCAATGGAGGCTGTAATCAGAAAGATCACTTTTCTTTGGCAGTGAGGAATGACTGTACCACCTAAAGCCCTTTGTGATGTCAGATAATGCTCCCTGTATGGTCTCACCGTGTGACAAGCCATGGAAGACTTCCACATTGACTTCAGGGGGAATCTAAGCTCATGAGGCTGCTGTGAGGCATTAATGATGATGGCCATCTTTCTGGTGCTGCTCAAGTTAACAGGATGAAACAGATCCCCAACCCCCATCCCATCTGTCCCACTCATTAATTTTTTTAAAGGCTGAGAGGTCAAAGAGGCTTCTTGTTCCCATACTTACATGCAGAGGTGAAAGTACATCCAATTAGATTTGAGGGTATCATTTATTCCGTGCAGAGCCAAGGACTACTGTGAAAAAAGGCATAAATACAGAAAGAAAAGAGAAGAAGAGCAGCAGTGACAAGCTCAAGAGGGCCAGGGGAGGGATGGCAGTAAGAATTAAGTTAGTGGCAGCATTAAAATACCTTTTAAAAAAAGACCAAAAAAAACCAATGAGGCTACTAATGCAATCTAGTCACAGCTTTGGGCCAGAAAGTCAAAATGACTGAGACTGGATGCCTTTTCACTGCTCAGCTACCTGAAAAAGGCTTTAGTGATACAAGGAAACAGTTAAAAAAAGTTAATTCCCACGGTGAGGCACAAGAAGACACACAAAGCAGCTGGTGCAAGCATGTCACACAAGCGGCTGAGTCTTTGACTTTTAGTGTAGTGCATGAGAAAATGCAGCCCATGGTCAGGAAACTGGTTTCATCATGCTGAGAAAAAGTCCCAGAAGTCAGCTGCTCCAATGGCTTAGTTCATATGAGAACTGCAGGGACACCCTGTGGAGATTGGGCTAAACCTGTCTTAGGTGCATTACTGCTGCTGCTTCTAGATTTGAAGCTCACATTCTTAGTGTATTTTTGAGCTTCCAAAGGGTCCCCCCCCCACCCCGAGAGCTTTCCCTCTATGGCCCCAAATCAGTTCCTGGAGATTCTCCGTGCCCTGAGAAGTTCTATGGAAAATGGCTGGTGTGGGGCGGGAAAGAAAAGGGAGGCTAAACAAAAGCCCTCTGCTTCAGCAGCCTGGAGAGGCAGTTTAAACAAAACAAAACAAAAACCACTAGCCATTCTACCCTGGCAAGGCACTAGGAGGAAATGCAAGAAGAGCTGGAAGATCTCAGTTCCAAAGAGGAGTGTGTTAAATGTAAAAAGTGACCAACAGGAGACTACTTAGCTAGGAGCAAAAGGAAAGCTGGCATGTCTCAGCACCAGAAAGTTAGGAGGACCAACACAGGAAGTTACTTCATGTTGCTTCCAGAACTGGCAGGGGGATGGGAGGGATGTCTAAAGGTACAGTACAGAGCTTAAGTAGTTAAATTGGTTTTTTATATCAATTAGGACGGAAGAGTATGAATACATTTAAAGACTCTGGAAGACTACTGGCTTATTTATGTTTCTCTCTGATCTCCCTGCTTGGCACCTTTGGCACCACATTCCATGGCCTTAAGAGGATAGAAATGCTTTGTGTGAGTAACTGCAGTGACAGAGAGGGCAAAGGGAATTCCCTGAAGCCTACTGGGTTCCAAGAATCATCTGCTCTCCTTGTCTTGACAGCCAAGTGGTACAAATGGAGGATAGGGTGGGGAAGCTACTTGGGAGGAGAACTGAATTTTCATTTCTTGATTCAAGTTGGCTTTTTCTAATGTGTAGGTCACAAGGTCCACAGAAATGTGGAAGTCCAAAGGCTAAAGAGTTAATCCTATAGAGTGTTTTATCTGGAATGATACTGAAGTGGCTGCTGAAAACAGTGTTTTTTGGAAGTCTTGTAGATAGATCCCATAGCACAAGAAGTTATTCTGCCACTAGGAGATAATGTTGATTTTCCCATGGAAAACAAATTCAAATAATACAGAAGAGGTTTGTTTATCTTAAGTTGAAAGGATGGGAAAATTTTTTTTTGATCTTGTATATTCTTTCACTGAACGATGGCATATGAACATCTATTTGTGATTTCCCCCCAAAACTAGGGTATGCTGGCGATGGAGAGTTATGTGCTCAAGGCCCTTGGAATAATCCTCCCTGAACTTTTCCAATGTTTGAGAATCATGAATCCAGCTTTGTTTTTAAAACAGTAAAATGAGGCAGTCTGATGCTCTAGGGAGGCTGACAAGAAACCTGTACTAAACTGAAAAATTCAATCCAAATCGTGCTCTGTTTACCCATCATGTTGTCTCAGCAAAAAGCTGCTGGACTTGGGAGGAGGCTGTGGAAAGAGAAGAGGCAGAGTGGATGTGGGCATCGGGCAGTCATGGGTACAAGTCATGGTCATTCAGGTTTTAGTTCAGCTGGTGAGGCGGTGAGAACAGTTTCCATGTCAGACACAATGGCGCTGAATGTACAGTACTTTCCCATTCATTCCAAAGCAACATACAAGTAACAGGCGTGCTCAACTGTGACTGTTTGGAATTAACATAAAAGGCAAACCATTTACTTTCCAGAGACAAAATCCAGGTGAACATAGCAGTTACCATCATTTCCCTTTTCTACCTTTTCCCACCACCCACCTCCAGTGAAATGAGTTAAAAGGGTTATTGGTGCTTGGGGAAAGGGGGGAAGGGGGCGAGGGCGGGTAAAAGAAAAAAACAGAACACAGATGGCAGGGACACGTTACTGCAAAAGCAGGTGAATGCGGGAACATCCTTGGCTTGCCAGGCTTTATGTGAAGCTTGCACTGCAAGTTAAAAAACAAAACAAAAAAGTTAGAAATAATAATAAAACCAAAAGGAAAAAAAAAGAGTTAGGAGCGAAAACACCAGCGTCAGAGCGATGGTGGCTGCTCATGCAACAACGATGGATTTGACAGAAATTAAAATGGTCAAAATTTGAGTAGTCTATTCTATGTGACAGGCAAAAGCAAAATTCAAAAAAAAAAAGAATTAAGAAACACATGGTTAGTTTTCATTTGCATGAAGCTTTGACTTCTCAAATGACTTGCTGAATTTGCTGCAAATTCCAGTGGAAAGATCCCACTGTTCAGCCTTTTCTCAGATGACTGCAAGAGGATCCCTGATCTGTACTGAAAGGAATCTTTGATAGTAACAACTGTGCACCCCGCAGAAGCAACACTTTCAAGGCCCACCAAAAAGTCAAAGGACAAAGGCATAGTAACTGTCTTAAAATGGCAGCATTACTTGTGGAAAAGGGCTGATACTGTAGACTGAGGGATGAGGAAAACATAGAAACAGACAAGAGGAGGAAACATGCTATTAATCCGTTGTGGACACACACGCACACACGCGCACACACACATATACACATATATCCTTTTTTTCCCCCAGGGAAAGGGAAAAAAAGATGATCACTGGTTGTGTTATAGCTACAGCAATGCCAAGAGCTTTCATCCACGTTTAAGTATGAAGCAATGCAAAACTTAAAAATGTACACTGGGAAAGGTTATTTTTTTCTTTTTTTTTTTTTTAAGACAGGTTGAAGCATGCATCCTTATTCCTTGGTAAGGAATTTAACAATTATTTTTACAAAGATGAATTGCAGGCTGCTGCAGAGTGTGGTCCTCAGATATCATCACCACGACACTAGGTTTCAAGAGACAGATTTAAAAACCTGATTCTGGGATCGATGCTAATCAGCTAATGCCTGCTGATTCTTGCTGATCCAATAAAAGGACAGAGAGAGTGTAGATGCTGCTTGTCACTAGCATCTCAGTGGCAAACAGAAATGGGGGTCTGTGCCTGTGGTGTGGGATCCAGCTAATGGCAGTGCCCAGATTAGTTCTACTTTTGCAATAATCTTACAGAAATGTTAAGTTGTCATGCCACTACAGTTACAGATAAGTAAAAAAAAAAAGCCTTACCTACACAAAAAGGGAGCATTTCATTAAAGTAGAAAAACAAAATTAAAAACTTTTAGAAAAACCAAGACAGGCTATAACATGGAGCACAGTCTACAGAAAAGTCATTCTTTTCTTTTTGCTGTGTTATTTAAAGCAAAGCTAGCTGGTCCTTGGCAAGTGTGGGCACTCTAGAATCAGCTGCATTTTGAAGCATTTACAAGTGCTATGTTTAACCCCAGTGACTGCCTTTCAAAGTCTCCAAATGGCTGTAGCCACTGGTAATGTTCTAGTTCTGGTTTTTATTCTGTTTTTTCATGGTTCGGGCCTCTGCTAGCAGTCACTTTATTGAAATGGAAAAGATGCTAGGCGCGTGGAGGCCAGTGTGAACCCGGAAGCTATTGCACAGGAATATGCTTGCCAAACATGGACAGGCATAAAACCAAGGTATACTGTAAGCCAAATTAGTTAATTCAAATATACTAATTCTAAATTAGAATCTATAAGTGGGAGAGGGGCAAAGAATACTATATTACATACTTTACATTGTCATTAAAGAAAAAGCATTCTAAATTGTTAGGGCCAATGGGTGGTGAAGAAACTGCCTTAATGATGCATTGTGCACATAGGTTAAAAAGAGTTTTCCAAATACTGTAAAGTTTGCTCCTGGATGGAATTATTATTATTTTTTTAAATGGAGGCACCATACTGTTCAGCTTTTGGAACTTTTATTGCTTAAAGGCACACCAAAGTACATAGGAAAATGAAAAAGCTCTTTTCACACTGCTGGTCTTTGTATTTAAATTCATATTTAGAACACATATTCAATTCGTATTCTTTGTTTTAAATTCATATTTAAAACATCTCTTTATGCACTTACGTGTGTCAGGGGCAAGACAAACAAAAAACTCAACCTCAAATTTGGATTTTCTTAGCATCAGCAGCTGTGTCTCTCCATTTGCTCTCCAACACACACGCACACATCAGTAAACATACGTGTTCCTTCTCATAGGTTAAGCCGGAACACCCAAGGTATTTATCTCATCAGAAGAGATGTAGTATTTTCAACTGGAAGCCATCTCCATTAGCTACACCAATAAGATGCCCAGCTCTTAAGCTCAAAAGCAATGTGTTTCCTTGGAGTGGATTAAAATTTGTTGTTTTCACTCCTGAGATGACTCCAGCACTAAAAACATTAGGTCCTTTGGACTCTTATGTTCAGCAGAGCTCTGGCACATTGTCATGCCCCCATAAACACACACACACACACACACACACTACAGCCACTTCCACCCCCTTCTTCCACAGTGTCTCACATATCCTGACCATCTTTCCATCTCTCCCTTTTTCTCTCTGTACCATTTCTGTTGGCTCAGAGCATGGAAATACAAAGTCAGTTTTAATGTACAGTCTTGAAAATAAATATTCATTCCATTGCATTGGATTCATCCATTGTGGTGCTATAGCTCTGCATTTGTGTTTTTAGCCACAGACAAACCGGGGAGGACAAGAAAGCAAAGTCTACATCTACTCAATATTAATTAAACTCAGCATTGCTGTTGTTACCCATCTCTCTGTGGTTGGTATAACTGAAAGAGCCTCTGCCCCCTTTAAACTGTTGGTGAGAGGGCAATGCTTTCCCACAGAGTCCTGGCCTTTAAAAAAAAATCATTGGTTATGGGCTAAAAAGCTGCACAGAGGTTCTCCTAAAAGCACAGTTCTGTGCTAAGATGTGGACCAGCAGAGCTGAAGTTCTGGTACCATTTCTCATTTCACAACAAGGTACCTACCGGTCATGACACACTTACTGACAAAGTAAGGTAGCACACACAATTATTTTCATTAGCTATGGCTCATCAAATCTCCTGGCATTTGCCATGACCACTGCAATGTCCACTTGCAATCAAAATACTGGATTTCTTAACTTATCTTCATCCAAGGTTATTCAGTCGGTTGCTTCCAATCATAACCAATTTTCAGGGAAGACCCAAATTGCCACTTGGATGGGGACCAATTCCTACATACTTATTATAGTCCTCAAAAGGTATCCAGCAAGCCAAGAGCAGAATCAGGCCCCTTTAACAAATTAAAGCCATATTACATTTTGTCTAGTTTTGAAAATAGAGCAATATGTCATCTTAAATTGAGAGAACAAGTAGGTCCTCTGAAAACTCTTCCCAACATCTCTAACTGGCAGTAATATCTGCAGTGATTAGCTTATTGAGAACTGCATGAATAAGAATAAGAAAATAATAGTAGCAATCATAATTTTTAGAATGTTCATTATAAAGATGGTCATCAGATGTTTTTTGTTGCTGTTAAAGACAGAACATTGAAGGTCATTCCAAAGAATCATAAAGTTGGTGCAGAAGTTTCTGTTGCAGAGCACAGATTTCATAAATTAATTTTATGTACCCTAAAAAAATGTGAAAGCCTCTATTTGTCTTCCCTGCTCCAGAGAGAAAGTACTTTCTTCAGGCAGACTGGTCAAAACACCACTTTCCAGTCTGAAAACAAGACAAAAGGCAAGTACAGACGTGCAAAGGAAAGGAGACTGAGCCAGCCCCGGGAGGCTGTAAGGGGGACCCTGCTTACTTTTTCTTGTCTTTGTCCTTCTTGGTCTGTTGGGCACCGGCCTGCTGAGCCTGTGACTGTAAGAGCTGAGCGGCCGCTTTCTTCTTTTGGAAGTTGTTGACCTCTTCCTCAAGCTCCTTCTTCTTGTCTTCTACTTTCTTTTTCTCTTCCTGGTGTGTCCGCTTTAGAAGGTCAAACTTTTCATGAAGCTGGACAAGAAATGGAAGAGACAGTAGTGGGTTTGGGGGGATGAGTGCTAGCTGCTGCAAATGGTGTTTTGTTTTCAAAGATAAACATACCCATTGACCATACCAGTGTTTTTCTCTGATCGGAGTCAGGCTTGGTTCTCATATTTATTAAAGGTTTTGTTTTCATGTATTTATTACATTTATTTATATGAAAAGTTAAAGAGTATCCTTGCTTATCTGGGTCTCTTTGGGAATTAATTTTTTTTTTCTGAAGTCATATTCAGTCCTATAATATTTCAAATTTTTGTCAGGGCCTTGGATGAAGGCATAGATGTGTGTTCATCAAATCTGCAGATCATGCCAGGTATATAAGATAGGTATCACACCGGAAGACACGGGATTCAAAAGGATCTTGACAGGCTAGAGTATTGGGCTGAATCTAATAAGGTGAAATTCAATAAGGATAAAGTCTGGTACTTGGGCACAAAAAAAAATCAACTTTACAAACAGAAGTTGGGGGAGGCACAGGTAGATAGCATTTCTTCTGAAAAGGATCTGGGGATTATAATGGACCACAAGCTCCACCTGAGAGAGTCAGCAGTATGATGTGAGAGCCAAAAAGTTTAATGTAGTTTTGGGGCTACATTAGGAGATGACTAGACAGGTGACAATCTCACTATACTCTGTCCTTGTCAGGTGTCTTCTGGGGACAGTGGATTAGGAGTCAGGAGAGCTGTGTTCTTTTCCCTAATCATGGTGCTAAATGCCAGGTGTGACCTTGGGTGATTCATGTAACTACCCTGGACTTCAGTAAGCTTATCTGTCAAATGGGGCAACAATACCTGTCCTACAAGCCTCTCACAGTTGTTATAAGGCTCAAGTGCCTGAGAAAGTCTTTGGAGAAATATGAAGAACTGTGCAAATACATGGTTGCATGATGGGATCATTAAAAAGAGAAGAATTAGGAGAAATTACTTACATCTTTTTCCGCCTCTTTAAGTTCAGCTTCTTTTTCTTTCACCCTCATGACAAACATTTGTCTCATTTCTTCCTCTTTCTTCTGAAGTTCTCCCAAGAACTCATTTCTCTTTGCTTCATACGTCTCCTGAAGGCTGTTCAAGGACCAGAAAACAAGGACGACATGATGGTTGGTGCATAGGGAGCTATAGAGCCTGTGCTTGCAGAACCTTGAGGGGTGAGGTCAGAATGTGAAGGTTAAACCTGTATGAACCAGCCCCAATGTAAATGAGATGAGCCAGCCACAGGAACAAACCACCCAAAGACGCAGTCTGCAAATGAGCTGCTAACTACTAGGATGTCTCTGGTCTTCCCGTCAAGAAGAACAGTGTTTCCCAAATCTTATCAAAGAGAATATAATCTAACTCATATTAGATAAGACAGGAAGCCTTAGAAGCAGCTCTCATGAAGTATAGAGAAAGCCGTCCTTGGAGCTAGGAAGACCTGAGTGCCAAGGGTCGTCTCTGACAGATGCTAGCTGTGTGACCCTGGGAAAGTCACTTAAGCTCTCGTTGTTTTAGGAAACTCTCTAAGACTATAAGTTGCCAGGAAGATGCAAAAATGCACTCATCTGGGTGTTCTGTATACCAGTGTAATCACAGGTTCAGTCCTTAATCTTGTCCCTGTGATCCAATTAATTGCAAAAACAGAAATGGGTGAAATCTAGAAAAAGGAAAGGTATCAGGGAACAACCAATAGATAGGGAGAGATTAAAAATTGGAGATGGAATGAGGATGGGAGCAATTTGCTGGAGAAGGTGGTGAGGGATGGCATCAAGGGTACATGTAGAAGAGAGGGGGTGGGCCTTGGACAGGAGGACCATCTCTTCCTGGATACCAGGCTGAGCAAAGGAAGAAATGATGGTGGGGAGAGGGCATGTTGGTGAGAGAAGACCTAGTCTTGAAGGCCTATTCACTTCTCCTGGAACTCAGAGCACCATGTCTATTGTAAGGATACTGACACAGGGAAACCATGAAGTAAAATCAAATGAAGAATATTCTACTCATCTGCCTTTATAAAAGCATCCAGTGTCTGGACTCCCACCCCTTCTAAGTCTTCATCCTTGTGATTCTGAATCCCATCCCCCTGGACTCCAAACTCTACTGTCTGCTTTCTCATTAACATCCACTTCAACCCTACCACAACAATGGATATCACACTAATTCTATACTCCTTCAGGGAACCATCACATTGCTTGCTTTTTTCACTCTCTTCTTTATTGGTGGGTATTTTTGCCTTTTACTTGCACTAAGCTCTTCCTCCAGTGCTACCTATGCCAGGCTTCTCACATCCCTAAGGTTGGGCCCTCAATAGTCTTAAGATCATTTAAGTGGCACAATATCCTCTTGAAGAACTTTGGAACCTTGGCACCAAGGAGTGTGGTGTACAAGATCTGCCATATAGGCTGGAGAAGTTACTTAGCCTCTGCGCCTCAGTTTCCTCATCTGTAAAATGAAGGCATTGGATTTGATGGCCTGTAAGGACCCTTCCAGCCCTAAATCTAAGATCCATGAAAATATACAAAAAAAGAGTCTTGATTATACAAGAAAAATGTCAAATGGGAGAGAGCGAAAGATTTCAGGAAGTGGTGGGCAATTAGTATGAATTCTGTTAACCCTGAATAAACTTCCATATTAACTCTATAATAAAAGAACACAAGTAGCTGAAATGAAGTGGCCTCTTCTTTAAAGAAAAGACTGAACAAGAAACAGTCAACTCTACTTCATGAAGCCTCCTGGACCCGTTTCCTGTTTGAATTTAGTTCAATAAAAATTTAATTTTATTAATGGTTAATAAAATCTCTTAGTGCCCTGTATAAAGCCTATTATGGTTTTTTTTAAATTTCCACTATTGCCAATATTTTTTGAACCATCTCTATGATTTCTTACATTTGATCCTCACAACAATCCTAAGGAGATCAAGAAATAGAAAAAAAATTTTTTTCTGAATTCCAAAAATAAGTAAGGGCACATTTCAAAGGGTTGTTGTGACAACAGAAGAAATATGTGTCAAATGCTTGGTAAATATTAAAATGCTTTATGCATATCAGCTACGATAATGAACCTGAGTGCAGACACTGCAAGACCTGGGTAGATATATCTGCAGGGCAGAAACATGAGAGAAACTGCAGATTATCCTGGATCAGAAATCCTGGAAGTTCTATTGCTCCTCTACTCCCTACAGAGGCTTCAGGAAAAAAATAGAAAAACTGTCTTTTTGTAAACTTCATCTGCTCTAATCATATGCATGAAACAAAGCCCCACCATTACAATAACAAAACAACCCTGGGGTCATTCCTCAACCTGATTAGATTTCTAGAGAAAGTAAAACAAAATAGAAAGATTCTACCACTTACATTCTGAAAGAGACCACTAAATGAAAAAATCCAGAGGAATGTTGTAGCTTCCAGGTCAAAGGAAAAATGATGCAAAAAGTCAAAAAGAAAGGGTTCAAGTACAAAGACAGTTAGAATCAAATAAGACCTGTCAACTACCATCATAAAAGAGAGGAGAGCTGGAATAAATATTCCAAAAAGCAAAAGAGAAAAGTTTATAATCAAGAATATCTTACCTGGAAAACCTGTGGTCAGTTTTCCCCCACAGGGGGAAAAGTAGGCCTTTAATTAAAGAGGACTTCTAAGTATTTCTGATGAAAATACTAAAGCTGAGTAGAAGCTTTGCTGTGCAAATACAATAGTCAATAGAAACAAATAAATTCAAGCAAATGAAAGGTCTGCTTGATGATTAAATGTTTAAATTTTAATAGGGAAGAAGAAACAATGTCCACTCAGAATTATAAAGGGTTTTTAAGGGTTACAGAGGTCATAAAGATAAGTAAGATAAGTGGGCCTGTCAGTATTATGTTTATGCTTTGATGATCTCTTAGGGAGGGAAGGGGGTAGAACTTATTTCACATAATTGGGGCATATGAGAAGAATAGATTAATAAGCAGGGAAAGGAGGGGGTCACATAAGCCTCACTTTCATCTAAATCAGAAAAAGAAGCTTTCAACACACACACACATTTTGGTGTAGAAATATATCAGATAAGAAAGGCATGAAAGGAAAGTGGGGGTTTGGAGAGAAGGTAGATTCAGGGAGCGATTAGTCATAAACAAAATAACTACAGCTTCATAGGGTAGATCATGAAGGGAGAACTAAGGATAAGGAAAAAAGGAAGGATAAGAACCTGTGGGCCACAGACTGGGCAAAGTGAGAGGGAAAAGCAGTGAAATGGAAGCAGATTTATCAAATATAAATCAACAGTATTGAGTTCATTCCAATTTCACCACCTTCTTTGTAAAGAGAGAGGAAGAGAGAAATGAAATGGAAACGTATAAGAGGAGAGGATAAATATGCAATTTAGCAGTCAGAACTGTGAAACTGAATGGGATAAACTCACACAGAAAACAGAAGAGGAGAACAGAAAGCAGAATCCAACAACATGTTGTTTTCAAGAAACACTACTGAAACAGAAAGATTAACACAGAGTTCAAATAAGATGCTGGATCAAGATCTATTATGCCTCAAGGGAACTCAGAAAATTAGGGTTAGCAATTGTTCTCCCAGACAAGGCAACAGTAGAATTAAACTTGATGAAAACAGATAAACAGAGAACTATGTTATGCTTAAAGGCACCATATATAATGATTCATTAGCAAGATATGTATTATCTTGATATAATATATGATTATTATAGAATATACAATATTTTATATTATAGAATATATATTTATATATTATACATATATATGTATCTATACCAACTGGTATAGCATCTAAATATTTAAGGCAAAAGCTAATCGATAGAGAAATAAGACAATAAAACTGTTAACAGTTAGTGTCCCTCTTCAACACAGAACTAGAAAGAAGTATAAACTTTTGCATGTGGAAATAGAGCTTATATGAGCAAATACAGGATGTATGTCCATCGCTCAATCCAAGGTGAGAATGACAATGCCTATTGGTACAGAGTTCATGCTAAGTACTACAAGAGTGTTTCCCCAACCTTTCTCAGTATGTGGCAAACTTGTGAGCTACCTTTGGAGACTTTTCCCTACCCAGAGAGCCTTCCATTTCCACATCCCCGACACCAGAACTTCTCAACGTACCAAGATTTTTGAAACGCACCAAAGTGTCGTCCCTAACCACTGGTTGGGAACGTTTCCCAAGGGTCTGCTAGTAGCCATGGTACCTGAAGGGTTTGCTATCAGGATCTGTGTCTTTGAATCCCATTTCTTCCAGCTTACAGCGTCGGTACAGTTCATAATGGCGGGTATGAGTTTGTTCTCTCAAATCCTCCATGTTTACTCTGATCAGCATCTCCCGGAGCTTTACAAAGTCACAGTGGTTTTCATTCTCAACTGGAAGTTATGAAAACCAAAAAACAGTTAGCAGTGTTTTCACTTAAAACCCCAAAATCACACAGCTAGAATTGGGGAATGTTACTCTATTACCAAAACAAAACCAAACCAAGAACACTGATAAGTTAAGACCATCTGAAGACTCTTACTTCAGTGTTTCAAAATGATATTTGATTTTCTCTTACCCTGTTTTTAACTGGGTCAAAGGAAAAAAAGAGGTCACATGAGGCATTCAAATAATTGTGGGAGATACTCCACAACCATGTAGCCTTTCTGTATTCCCTCTATCAAAATAGTCATTTATAATGAGAATAAAGTGAAACATCATATGACCAAGTTAGGTCATATGAAAAGAGGCATTGTTGGGGCAGCTAGGTGGCACAGTGGATAAAGCACCGGCCCTAAAGTCAGGAGGACCTGAGTTCAAATGTGGCCTCAGATCAAACACTTGACACTCACTAGCTGTGTGACTCTGGGCAAGTCACTTAACTCCAATTACCTTAAAAAGAAAAAGAGGAATTGTCATAGGAGCACTCTTTGTTTTTTAATTAAGTTTTATTATTTCAATTAACAAGCATCTTCCATTGTTTCCTCACACTTACCTTTCCCTTGCCCCATGGAAAAAGAAAATCCTTGCAACAAGAAAGCATTATCAAACAAAACAAACCCTTTTATTGGCTGTGTCCAAAAAACGCATGTCTTACTTTGCATATATAGTCCATCACCTCTATGTCAGGAGGTGAGCAGCTTTCTAAATAATTGGTCCTTTACAATCATGGTCAGATTTCTTAAGACTTTCAAAAGTGTTCCCTTCTGGGGCAGCTAGGTGGCTCGGTGGATAGAGTACTGGCCCTGGAGTCAGGAGGACCTGAGTTCAAATCCGGCCTCAGACACACAACACTTGCCAGCTGTGTGACTCTGGGCAAGTCACTTGACCCCAATTGCCACACACACACACACACACACACACCACACACACACACACACACGCCACAAAAGTGTTCTCTTCATTCTTCATGAGAAGTGAGGTTCAAGTGACACCTGTTCCCACTCTTTCCGTCTTTATATGGACTTTTACTTGTGCTCTCCGATTATATGCGATAATAAGTTTTCCTAGTTTTTCCTGTTTTCATCTCTAGTGTATCACCATCCTTCACCCCTACCCATGTTCTTTCCTGTTTTCAAAATCATCACATCATAACAAAAATCACTTGCAGGTCCTCCATCCTAACTGACTTCCCACATGACCCTTTGCTGACATTATGGTTCTCAGATGATTATATCATCCTTCCTCTAGCACATTAGGATACATATGATTTATCCTGGTTAAGTCTTTCGCATTCATTTGGTTTTTTTATTTTTTTTACTCCTGTCTTTGTATTTAAGCATTTCTACTTGACTCCAGTCTTTTCAACAGGAATGACTGGAGTCCTCTATTCAGTTTAGGTCCATTTTTTGCCTGGAGGACTACACTTATTTTTGCTGGGTTACTCCTGGTTGCAAGCTTATATATTTTACCTTCTAGAATATTGTATTTTATGTGCTTTACTCTTTTATGGTAGTAGCAGCTAAATCTTGTCTAACCCTAACTGTGGTTGCTTGGAACTTGAACTCTTTCTTTCTGGCTCCTTGTGTTATTTTTTTCTTTGACCAGGAAGGTCTGGATTTTGGTTATGACATACTTCGTAGTTTTCATTTTGGGGTTTCTCTTAGTCCTTCTATTTTCACTTTGTCCTCTTGTTCTAAGAAACCCAAGCAGTTTTCTTTCATGATTTCTTGAAACATAAAATATAGGTCCTTTTATTTGGTCATGGATTTTAGGTAGTATAGTGATTCTTAAATTATCTCTCCATGGTCTTTTTTAGGTCAGTTGTTTTTGATATGAGATATTTAACATTTTCTTCTATTTTCTAATCTTTTGATTTCATTTAATATTTCTTACCATCTCTGGGAATCATTAACTTCTGTTTGATTCTAATTTTCAGGGAGTCTGTTAACTTGAGTAAAGTTTTTGTGCCTCTTGTACCAAAGCTTTTAATTCTCTTTCCAAGTATTCTCTCCAAAACTCTCATTTCTTTTCCAGTTCTTTCCTCTATTCTTGTCAGTTCTTTTATAGAATTTTACTTGATTAAAAACACTATCATTTCTTTTAGGAATTCTAATTATCTTGGGCAAGAGGTGTTTTTATTTGAGACTTTGCTTGTAGGTGTTTTGGAGGTTTATATCTCGTGCATCCATGGCTTCAAAATAGCCTTTTATCTGTTTTTGGTTTATTTGCTCAGTTATTCTGCTAGCAATCTGCTCTGGGCAACAAGGCTTAGCTGGTTAGCTGGGAGTTTGGGGAGCCAAGTCCCAGCTCCTCAGGGAGACTTCCTTGCCCCCCCAAGATGCTGTTCTGGATAGAAGACTGCATTCACAATCTTCTCTAAATGACTCTATGTTTGGGGTTCTGGGCTCTAAGTCCAGGCTCACAGATCCAGGACTCACACTGCTGACTTGGACAGGCAGCTGAATCCAAGAAAAGCTCTCCATAGGAGGAACACTTGACCCGAGTTACTCCATTCCGAATATCTAATGCACACTTCAAACCACCAAGTATATAAACAACTAGATTGTGTGGATCCGATAACCTGATGCTCGTGACCAAATGCTGTCACCTTAAAGAGTCAACGTATGATCATGAGCTATTTACTGAAAACATGATCGTAAATTTGTAGTGCTTTATGAGCATGCTTGTATATTGCCGTACACAACCTTGGCTGCTCATTACATCAGCAAAAAGCTTATTGGCTGAGTTCCCCCTTAAAAGACAGCCACAGTGAACCTGCCATAACAAAACTGCCCAGCTCTAGTCTAAGTTGAAGCAAAGTAGAACCAGGAAGGCCCAAGATTGGAAAAAAGACCCCCTTTGGGCTTCCAGCTTCCTGGAGCCCAAAGAACCAGCCATTGCTGCCCGCAGACCCAGTGGTCTGTCTGCCAGAGACCAGCTCCCCGCACCTGCATCATCGGACTTCTGATCTACCATCACCGCTTCCCCGTCTTGGGATGGTGAGATTGTTTTGGACAGTTTGATCATTAGGTTAGGCTGGGAATTCAGCTCTCCAGGGAACTTAGGTAATTTCCAGTGTGTGGTATAAGGACCTTTTCTTGATCTTAGTGGTTTTCCTGAGATTTTCTCCAATTTATCCTCTATGTAGTTTGTTACAACAAGCAATAGAATTGCTTGCATATTGTCTCCCCCACTAGGCTGTGAGGTCCTGAACGGCAGACTGTTTTTTTGCCTTTGTGTCCCTGCACTTAGCCCAGTGCCTGACAGTAGTGGGTACTTAACAGATACTTGCTGGCTTCACTTTCTCTCTCTTGTAACTGAATGATGAAGAAAATGGAGTGAAATACCGAAACACCTGTGTTGATTTAAATAAATAAAAGCAATCTGACTGACCAAATCATTGAGTGTCTTGCCTTTCCCTGGAGGGCACATTCTTAGTTTTGTCCACTCTTTTTCACGGAATGTCTTGGGAATTTATACTCAAAAAGTCAGAGGCAGAAATGAAGAAAACATTGTCAGTGTTTGCTCTACAATCCCATGTTTGGATTACAATTATAAGCTCACTGATGGTCAAGGACTTTTTTTTCCCTCTATGCTTGGTAGCCCTGATACAGAGATGGTAGCAGAGTGCGAGATCCCCCGAGAATACTTAAATATTCATTAATCGTACATTTTAGGATGCCCAGAAAATAGCACCAGGAAAGCCAATGAGTACTTTCCCAGAGTTCCTGGGGGTTGTTCATTCAGAAGTTGACTATTGTCTTCTCAGCACGTGTTGGTAAAGCTCATTCATTTCATGCGAAATGTACTCTTTGTCAGGCAGGATTTTAAAGCTTTCCAGCATCTGATTTGGCAATGAGAAGGCTGAGTATTTTCCATTCACATTATGGCCATTTCTTCCACCCTCACGGAGACCTAGAAATGCCCTGTACACATTATTTGTTGGAAAGAAGTATCCACTACATCCTGCCCTACTGCTATGGAGGAGCCCAGGCAGCCCCTCCCTCCTTCTTCCCAGGGCATACCTTGCACCACACCCCAAGGGTACTGCCTGGCCTTTGCCATCTTATTTCCAATCTTCACTTCTTCAGTACTTCCAACCACAGCAAATGGAAGATGGACCTGAAAAGAAACAATGCATAAAAGATGTCATCATCATCACCATCACCATTATCATTTTCATGAGAGATCCTTCTACAGCTCCCCTAAAAAAGATATCTTTTATTCCCAAAGACTGACATCCCCAGTTTGCAGAGAACTTTAAGGATTAGCAAATTGATTTCCTTACTAGAGTAACCTGGAACATACTGTGAGGTAGAAGTTCTAGGTATTGCCCCCATTTTGCAGATGGAGAAACCAAGGCTAGAAGAAGGTAAGCAGTGACAGCCGAGTTAAGCTGAGATTCAGCTGAGGTGTCTGGGTCAGGCAATCTTTCCATTCCTGCATTCTGCATGATTACGTGGAAAACAAACTCTTCCCTAGAGGAAGAGTTAAGGAGGGGGCAAAAAGGCACTACAGTATATTGCAATCCAGCTTGTTTTTTAGAATGTTTTGGGACTGAATGTCAGCTGTTGTGTATCAAATACATACAGAGCGCTAACATCAGAGTCAATCACCCAAAGTAACAATTTTGTGGTATCCTTTCTTCATGACAATAAAGAAAGCTGAAACTAAAGGAACGTTTTTCAGAACAGTAAATTCATTAAGCTCCAGTTTCCATTCCAAAACATTTGGTCAAGTTGATTTTTTTCCTTAATTTTTCTGGAGAGCATCTACCCTGTGTAATATTTACTGAATATTTGCATCCTTTGACCTTTTTCACTTTTAACTGTAAATTACCCAAAATGGTTTTAAAAGCTATTCTTTAGTCTTGAGGTAATGAATCTAACTCCGACTCTGCCCCTCTCTCCATGCCCCTAGGGTTTATTGAACTATCTTAAGAGATACTATGGAGTTCTTTAAAATAACTCAAAATATGATTAATTTCAACTTTAATTTAAAAAATAAACATATTCAATTGTGCATACCTTTTTGACTCAGTGACACTGCTACGGGGTTTATACTTCCACAGGAATCAAAAACAAAAAAGATTCATGTGTTCAAAAATCTTTATAGTTTCTTTTTTTGTGGTAGCAGAGAATTGAAAGAAGGGAGAGGGGTATCCATCAGTTGGATAATGGTTGGAAAAGTGGTCTATGAATAATAACAGAACATAGATGTCATAATAAATGTTGAAAGGGATGGTTTTAGAGAAACAGACATGTACAAACCAAGGCAGAGGGCAATGAACAGAACTAGAACTAGTGAGTACGATATTGTAAAGGAAAAGAACCAAAGATTGCAGAGCTTTGATCAGTGCAATGACCAATCATGAGTCCAGAGGTCCAACAACAAAGCTCGCTACCCACCTCCTGGCAGAGAGGTGAGAGAAGTAAGAAGTGGCACAAGAAACACATTTTTGGATGTGGACAATATGTGGATTGGTTTCACATGATGGGATTTATTTGACGCAAAGGTTGGTTTGTGGTTTTTTTTGCTCTCCCAATTCAAGGGAGGGATTTTTAAATGAGGGGAGAAAAAGAATGTGAGTGATAAAAGGTTTTTTAAAAAACACACAAGAATGGAGGTAGGTTCAGAGGGGGTTACAAACAAACCAGACAGCTTTGAAACTAACATATGAATTTGTTATGCTTTTCTAAAAAGGGGCAAGCTGTTTGTAGTTGAGATTTGCAGGTTCACGTGCAATTACCTATGTTCTTTGTATGAGAATGTGCTTATGTTAACTTGTATTTGTTAAATACTTAATGACAAAAAAGTTAAAAATCATTAAAAATAAATATATTCCATATACCACTTTTTTCCTTTTTTTATTTGGGTAGTGGGGGAGAAAGTCTTGGAGCTAAAAAAAAGTTAGCAATCTTAAAGTTACTGAGGCATTTAGAAGATTCAAGAAATAAGTAAATAGCAATGATGTCTTGAAGACCACTTCTCCTTGGCTAATGGCCTTCTCTGCACATCATTCATTTAGCTTTTTCATTTAGATATTTAGACATTCAGCTAGACATTGCTTCCCAAAGGACTGGTACACCTAAGTCACAACTTTCCCAAAATAACCTGTAATTTAATACTGAGTAGCCTTCAGTTTTCCAAAATATTTAATATATACCACAGATACCCAAATCACAGAACAAAATAAAGCAGACTTTCTTGCATATTCTAAATTGAATCTTTAAAAACGTTTCTGAAAAGAACAATTCAGCCTTTCAGACAACAGAACTGTTTCTGTTAAACCGTTTAACCTGGATGCCTGAGGGGACATTGTATCCCCCTTCCAATCCTTCACATTTTTTTCTGCTAGAATATCGTACTAACAAAAGCAACCTTTAAAGAAATCAATGTTCCAAGATGACTCTTTCTCTTTATGTGGGCTCTCATCACAAGATCTTTCCAGGAGGGAATGTTTTTGCTAAGGACCAAAATGAACTCAGGCATGTAGATGACCTGCATTTGTTTTACATCCACAGTAGCATGGAGGCCATGTAAGGAAAGACATTAAAATCTTACTGATACTTGGTTTCTCACATCTTCAAAAGAAAAATTAATTGTATGTCACTGGGCTCTAGTCATTGGAAATGCTATTAGTTGATGGAGAAGTGAGACAAAATATTAATTCATTTCAAGGAGTACCTAATCAATGGATCAATAAACAAGCATTTCTTAAACACCTACATGAGCCAGGTCCTGTGTTAAGGGCTGGCAATGGGAAGATGAAAACGGTCCCTGAAGGAGCTTTCATTCCATAGGGGTAAGACAAGATGACCTGATGAATCCCCCTCAACCCCAAAAGATTCCACAATCCTACAGGCAGTTTTCATAGTCAATATTAAAATTGATCCTAATATAGACCATGCACTTGAAATGAATTTTTAAAGGAAAAAAAAAGTGTAAACAAGTCCTAGTGGATCAATGCGGCATATTGTAGTTCTCAGTTCAATTCACCACTGTCTTCTATCTGCCTGCCACAACCACAGTCCTGGACATCAACACCCTCCACTTCGGCTCCTACTCCCACGCTACTCAATTGCTCAGAGGAAACCCTACAACTGAGATGACTGAATCCACTGCAGTTTTGTTATGTAGTCTCCAGTGGGCCCTCCTTATATCATTTTATTCTTCCCTAATTGATTTTCTATCTCACTGCACACAGAAGCTATGCAAGGACTCTTTTTTTGCTTGAGTCTTTCACACTTTTACTCTTTACCCTCTCTACTCCCCTTTCCACCCCAGCTAAAGATCTAGACTCAAACTCTATGGAGAAAACAGACCATTCTTTGTGAATTCTCTCTTTTTCCCTTCTTTACATTTCAAAACCTCTCAGCATCATCTCCATTCTAGCTTCCTTTTGCCCAGTCTCTGATAAAAGATGGCCCCCCTCGTCAAGGCCAATCTCTCTACAAGCCTTGGATCACCTCCCCTCCCCTCTCCTGCAGATAGCCTCCACTATCAACCTCTTCTCTTCCAATCGTTAATTTCTCACTATCTGTTGGCTCCTTTGGCCTACATCATCTCCATCCTTAAAATACAACTCTCACTAGACCCAGCTATCCTCTCCAGTTCCAGATCTCTTCTCTCTTTCATAGTCAAACTCCTAGGAAAAGCCATCTACATCCAATGCCTCCACTTCCTCTCTTGTCCCTCTGAGTGCCCTTGTTTCAGGGTTTTTATGACACTGCTCTCTAATGGCTCTTTTCCTACTTGTCTCACTGCTCTTTCACTGTCCCTTCTCCTACCTCATCATTCTGATCCAACTCCCTAACTCTGTGTGTATCCGAAGGCCATGGACTAGCCATATTTTTTTTGCTCTTTACCTACTCTCACTTGGTGACATCAAATCCCACATATAGTCTAGAAGGTTCAGTCCAAAATCCTTAGTTTAATAGATGTTATAGGGGAAAAATAGGGTTTAATGATCATGTCTATACAGGTGACTCCCAGATCTAGATATCCAGCCCTTCCCCGAAATGAGCACCATTCCTGCATTACCAGCTGCCCACTGAACATTTTGAACTGGACATTCCATAACTATCTCCACCTCACCTCAATATGTCCAAAACAAAACTCACTCCCTTTCCCCCCAAACCCATCCCTCTGCCAAAGTTTCCTAATGCTTTCAAGGGCACCACCATCCTTCCAGCACTTAATAGATGCTTAGTCAACAATCCCATCCGGTTTTGGGTGTACATGAATCATAGCACTGATTAGAGGCCACACCTGGGTTTTCTATAAGCCAGACTTAGGAGAACAGTACTGCCTAAATTCAGATCAATATCATAATTCTTAAAATGTCACAGTGGATAGAGAGTCAGCCTCAGAGTCAGGAAGTCTTTGATTCAAGTCTCACTTATGATTCATTTTGCTTGAGACTGGGAAACTCACTTACCCACTAGAAGGTTTACTTCATTAATTGGGGTTAGGAGTAGGAAGAATATCAAAATTTTCATCATTGATAAAACAAGCATTTATAAAGCATTTCCTATGTGCTGGGCACTGTGCTAAGCACTGGAAATACAAAGGAAGGCAAAAATCAAAAGCTCCCTCAAGAAGCTCATGGTCTAACGGGGAAGACAAACAACTTTGTAGGTACAAGATAAAGACTGAGTGGATGGAAGGTAACTCAGAGAGAAGGCACCAGCAGTGGCTATGTTTGGGGATGGGGGAAGTGAGAAAGGCTTTTTGGATTTGAGGTGAGTAATGCAGAACACCCCAGGAATCGAGGAGGCAGAGATAAGGACTGGGAGGATTCTAGGTATGGGAGACAGCCAATGAAAAGGAACAGAGTCAGAAGATGGGAGTGTAGTGTGTGAGGAAGAGCCAGGAGGCCACTGACACTGGATGGGATTGTCCACTGTGTGTGGAGACAAGTAAGGTGGAAGAAGACTTGAAAGGTAGGAAGGGACCAGGTTATGAAGCCAAACAGAAGATTTTTATCATTAATCCTGGAATTAAAAGGGAGCCATGAAGAGTTTATTGAATAGGGGAGGGTATGTGTGTGCCATAGTTAAGAGCAATGCCTTAGGAAGACCACTCTGGCAACTGAATGGAGCCTGGGTGCCTGGGAGGCTGGTGATACAGTCAACAGTAATAAGGAAGTTAGGAAAGGGGGAGGCCTTGGGGGATGAGGGGAGATGAGGAGTCCTGTTTTGCACATGTTGTGTTTGAAAAGTCTGTAGGATATCCAGTTTGAGAGGTACAAGACTGGAGGTCAGGAGAAAGGGTAGGGCTGGATAAGCAGACCCAAGAATCATCTATAGAGATGATAAATGATCCCATGGAAGCTGATCACCAAGATTCCTAAGTGAGATGGCATAGAGGAAGGATAGGACAGAGCCTTGGGGTATATACCCACAGTTAATGTATATGACCTGGAGGAAGATCCAGCAAAGGAGACTGAGAAGGAGCAGTCAGACATGTAGGGGGCCAGTTATAGAATGTTGGGCTTGGTGGTTTCCTTTTATTTTTTCCAAATGAGTCACAGACATCATAAAACATTCAAGAGGGAAGGGACCTCAGTTTATCCAACTCCCCCATCTTATTTATGAGCACATTGAGGCACAGGGTCCAAGTGGCTTGTCCAAGGTCAAAGAGCAAGTTTATTTCAGCTGAGGGTATAGAAATCAGTTCTGACTGGATGTTGAATGGTTTGCCTGCCCCTCACCCCTCACACCAAGGTGTTTGCAACTCAAGATACTCACTGGTACAAGCATTCATTCTCTTAGGCCAACTTACACTCATTGTCGCGTTAATTTCTGCCACCGTCTCTTCATCTGTAGGGAACTGGTATATCTGAACACCATTACTGACAAGTTCACTCATGATTTTACTCTTGAATTTGTGCAGCTCATTTTTGGCAATGGTATCTGCTTTTGCTATGATGGGGATGATGTTCACCTACAGTTTAAAAGAAAAATCCATTTTAGACCACAACAGGCTTAGAAAGACATAGAAGCAATAGAACAGATGAATGAAAAGTGGCCCCCCCAGAAAAACCCAAACAACCAACAACAACCCTGAAAATAAATATCAGATCATCTCCTGAAATGCAAATTAGTAAGACATTTGAGCTGTTATTTCCTTTCCTCTCCTTGTGATTTAACTCCTTCACTCCTTCCTTCAAGAAAAGGGTTAAGCTACTCTGGCTTCAGGGAACTACAGGTTTGATACATTGGAATGATTTGCCATTTCCTCCCTGGTGCAAGTCTTTTTTTTTTCTTCTAAAGGCGAGGGAGGAAGTGCTGTCATTCAGTCAATGACAAACAACTATAACACAGGAAAGAAACCACCCACCCATTCTTTAGACCTGTGCTGGCAAATGAGCTCTCTGCCCTACCTTCTAAAGGGAATGATGGCCATCTGTTTTCGGGTATCTCTGCCGTGTGAACTGAGAATTACAGTAGCATGGCAGTCACTATTTTTAAGGAGTCTAAAAACAAACACACTAGAGACTGAGCAATCAATTCTCTTCTGATTGCCTAAAAATGCTAGGAAAAACAAACAAGCATTCATCAGAATGAAAATAGTTTCGGCAACTTGAACCTTTTTGTGACATGGGAAGAGTTATATGAATTGGTGTGAAATGAGGGAAGCAGAAACAGCAAAACAACATTCAGAATGACTCTGATGATGTAAATGGAAAAAATGATAAGATGCCTCAGAAACTGAAGAGTGCAATCAAAATAATCAAGCTAGGCCCCGAAGAAGAGAGGAGAAAATGCAACTCCCTCTTTTTTTTTTTTGGAAAGAGTGAAGGACTATGGGTATAGACCCCTACCCATTCTATCAGATCCAATCTATATGGAAGGGGAAGAGATGTGGATATATTTGGATATCAAAATGATGTGAAAAACATATCAATAAATACACATTAAAAAGAAAAAAGTCATGCTATACTGTCTAAAACAAAGAAAATTCTCTTGAATTTCACAAAATTTCATTCAAAATTTGACATACATGACAAGAGGTCTGTAAGAGAGACCTTTGTCTGTATTATTTCTGTATAAAGCCCTGAAACAGAGACAGTATACTTGTCTCACTTGGCTATTGACAACATACCTACAGATTTCTAATATTCACTTTGCAAAATTAACAGTGCATTTGCTTTCACCTACTGGTAGGGGAAAAGAGACTTAACCTGGCATCTTTTACTGGCATTTAGCAATTTGTCTTTATTACAGTTCTAGTGGAAAGTCAATCAGATGCCAAAAACATAATGAAGACCAAACAGGTGAAGAGGGGTGAGCTCTCCTCATGTGATTCCCTTCTGATCCTTAGGGAGGCAGTATGACACAATGAAAGGGTTCTAAATGGAAGGTGAGCAGACCTGGATCTGAATTCCCAATATGCATACATTACTTGTGTCACCTTGGACAAATTCCTTAATCTTTTGGTGGTATCAGTTTCTTCATCTGTAAAATAAAGCACTGCAGTAGATGGCCTTCCTCTGAGGATCCTGCCAGATCAAAATCTATGCTCTTTTTTTTCTTGGCAACTGGGGTTAAGTGACTTGCTTAGGGTCACACAGCTAGTAAGTGTCAAGTGTTTAGTCTATCCCCTGCGCCACCTAGCTGCCCCAAAATCTGTGCTGTCTTAAGCAGCACTATTTGCAAGCTGCTGGTCAGTGACAGTGAGGAGGCAGCCATGCTCATAAAACAACATATATTAACTTAACAATGTTAACACTAATACATGTGTGTTGTATTATAACATAATAATACCATGTGTTATATTGTATCACATTATAACAACATATATTGTTATTTTATTTATATCATGTTATTAATTATATTATGTTACTATACTAATAACAATCATAAAAAACATCTTTAACTATTCATAAACTAATCATTCACCCTCTTCCTTTGGCATGTTGCAGGATGAGAAAAAAAGGCAGTCACAACTTTGCAGCAAGAACTTTCTAGTCAGAATGCTTTTTTGTTTGTTTGTTTGCTTGTTTTTTAGCAAGAATACTCTGGGGGCAGCTCAGTGGCAGCTAGGCGGTGCAGTGAGAGCACCTGCCCTGGAGTCAGGAGGACATGAGTTCAAATTTGGCCATAGATACTTATTAGCCATGTGACCTTGGGCAAGTCACTTAATCCTGATTGCCTCAAAAGAAAGGAAGAATTTTATTTATTTTTAAAAAAGAATACTCCAAGAGGATCCCTTTGGTGAGAGACAAAATCGAAGAGAGTTTGAGTGAATGACCTGTTGAATTTTATTGGAATAGAAAATTAATCTAAATAATTCAGATCAAAGCCCTCTCTTTTTCCTCAAAGCAGAAGTTTGAAGAAAAAGGATGATTATCTAACTCATCCCCTTCACTTTATATGTAAGGAAACTGAGGCCCTAAGAGGTTGAATGGCTTCCTCAAGATCACAGAGCTGAGCTAATCCTACAAATCTGAGCCAAGGTCCTATAGATCCAAATCCAGGGCTCTTTCCAGTATGCCCCTACTAACCTCCAAATCCCTGAAAGTCAGGATGCTTGTTTCTCAACTTTGCTAATGCAGAATCATTTTTGTTGGGATGGGAGGGTTGTGGAATGAAGGGTGAAGCTAAGGCATGAAAAAAGACAACTCTAGGGTTTTGGTTTTTGCCACGTTTGGTAATCCACTTCATTTTTCTGGTTTAATGGTACTTCAGGGAGAAAATGGCTAGAGGTGTGCTGACTACATATAGCTGTCCCTGCGTTGTGTGGATGAGACTGAAGTAGGCTGTGCTTTGAGTAATAAGCTCTCTATCCCTACTCTACAGAGATTTTTGCCCTGATCTCAAGCACTCACACAATATGGAGCTAAAAGAAATAGGTTCTAGGGGGCAGCTAGGTGGTGCAGGGGACACAGCACTGGCCCTGGAGCCAGGAGGACCTGAGGTCAAATTGGGCCTCAGACACATAATACTTCCTAGTTGTGTGATTCTGGGTAAGTCACTTAACCCCAATTGCCTCACTAAAATAAATAAATAAATAAACAGAATTTTGAAAAAAATAATAAAAAAAAAAGAAATGGGTTCTATCAGCTAGAGCTCACATGGTAGTGGAGTAGAGCTTCAGTTTTAAATTTTACTAAAAGCGAGTCAAACTTTCCCGAGTTAAGTAAGAACTATGGAAGCTGGGTTAATTCTTTCAGGGCAACAAATGGTCCTTTGATTTAATGCACTGGGGAAATCTGAGGAGCCCTATTCTGATTTTAGGGCCTTTTCTGGGGCAGCTCACAGATAAGAAGCCATCTTAGCATGATGATCTTCAGAGTATTATCACTTCCCTATTGTGTCCCAAAAATCTCCACTAAAGTCACTGGATCTGGACCTGACGGGAATTCAGAGGCTGTCTAGTCTACCCCCTTCATTTTCAAAGATGAGCAACTCGATGCCCAGAAGGGTTAGGGGTCTTGCTTTAGGTCACATAGAGGTGTGGCAGAACCAACATTAGAACCCAGGCCCTCTGACTGGAGTCAGATCCAGTACTCCTTCCACCGAGTCCTATGTATCTTGGCCAGGAAATGCCCCTGGGTTTTTTAGGACCATCCCAACAGATCACAAGTTCTGGCAGGTCTTACCAAAAGGAAGAGGCTTCAGATTCAAGTATGGGTCTGCTCATGGTTCTTTCTTCATGAAGCAAATGGTTAATTTTTTCAGTCATAGTCACAGCAATCCATGAAAACCCTTGACTATAAAAGGGTAGCTTTCTGCAGTGGTGAAAGGAGTACCATACCATGCAGCCTCCCTCCCAAATGAGTGATAGAGTGTATGATCTTATCAGATAGGAAACCATTAAAAAAATTTAGTTTTCCCTAAACTTTGGATTAATGCAAACATACACACACACACACACACACACACACACACATGCCTGTATATATGTGTATGTGTATATATATGTGTACATATATAGATATACACACACATACACAAATAAATATATAATATATACACACACAAACTCTCTTTAAAGACTAAAAAAAGAAAATCTTAAGTCTCTCATTTCAAATACCTGATTTTAATTCTTCTAATTGCCCAAATTTCTACATGTATTCCTTATATCTTTCTCCTCAGCTTTATCAGAGACAGAATCAGATGGCTCTGTACTAGTAAAACAATGCTTTTATAATGCTAGACATGAAAACTTAACCAAACAATACAAATTGCATGATAAAACTTTGAAGGAGTTTTGAGGGATTTTTCTCAGATGCCAAAAAACCAATCAACTGCTTGTAGACAAAGTATCCAAATTACCCCAAGGGCATAGTTGTGAATGACTATTTTAGGGCAGAGATGCCCTAGAAAGAATGCAGTTTTGTGTGGGTGGAGTACCTTGCTGTCCAGTTTCTTCATGGTGACGAGGTCGAGGGACTTCAGCGAATGTCCAGTGGGGGCGATGAAGTAAAGGCAAGCGTGAATCCGGGTGTCGTGGTAATTGAACAGGGAACGCTTGATCTTCAATTCCTCTTGCAGGTAAGCTTCAAATTGTGCATCAATATATTCTACTATTGGTTTATAGCTATAATAATAAAATAATAATAATAATGATAACAAGAACTGACATTTCTATGAAGCTTTAAAACTTTATTGTTTTATTCAGACCAGCTTATTTACTTTAACTGGAATCCGTCTTTATCCGTGCTACTCACCTGGTAAGAATGTCTATCTTATCTAGCATCCCTGTTACAATCTTGTTTTCTCCCAACTACATCAGAGAACCTAAAAACCAAACAATACCTATTTTATAGTACCCTTATCCTTTCTCACACAATCCTGAATAAATCTGGATAGACGATAATAATTAAACTAACCCCACCACACCACATTGCTACTTCGGGGGGGCTGGTTTCCCTCGCCACACACTACACTTTCACACTCTAGCTCCACCTCCATGATCTAATATAGGTTCAGGGAATAAAAATGGGTTTTAATATTAGTCCAAGAAAAAGCAGACCTTGTGCCTTCCCTCCTCCCCAAGCATCACATCATGTATTCCAAATCCTCTGCTGTCGTTTTCAGATTCTGTTAGCACCTCTTGGGGAACATTAGTGACGTATAATATGAACTACGAAAAGCTGACGATAATCATAAGTATGATGATGATGTTACTACCAGGAATAATACTGCGAATACTGAATGGCCCGGATTCCCTCCTTGGACCGAGGTGGTCCTTACTGTTAGGGTCTTAGGGACATGTATAAACTCTTTTAAGAGTAACTACCCAAGAAATTGCCATAATAGATGCAGCCGTGCTTATCTGCACTTGCATTCCAAATGTGAGGCGTCCCTAAGCGTTTCACCAAACACTTAATTCACCATCACACTAGTGAACGTTCTAACTAAGTGCTATGAAACCAAAATCCACTGGACACCAGCAACTCAGGCCCCGAGGAAAAAACCTGTCAATTCAGTGGCATCCTTGCAGGGAAAGTTGTTTTAAAATGAAAACCAGATGGCTGTGGGAGGAAGCTATAGGTATAAACCAGGAGGGAAAAAAGCCAAAGGAAACTAAGTCCAAGCACTGCTTGATGTCAGTTTTACTCTCAATATTTATTACAGCTCATGGGTTTGATCAATACGCACTACACACATAAACAAAATGATGTCTCGATAACTGCACTGAATCAAAAACATGTCATTGTTGGAAGGGACCTCTGAGTACAACTTGTGCAAGCCATAACTGAACAGGAATCCTCCACGTCCCCCCTCCCCAATATCAGCAACTTTCTCAACAAAATTCAGACACTTCTTGAAGTCCTGCTGTGAAAACCTCCTATCTTTTGTCAGAGAGGTGGTGGACTACTGGGACAGAATGAGGCATACATTGTCAAACATGACCAATGGGATTAATTTGTTTAACTTAATACTTTGTTACAAAAGAAGGTTCTACTGCAGGGCCCAAGATGATGGGAGAAGTAAATTGGAAGTGAGAGTGAAGTAAAAATGACATCAATAAAACTTGTAAAGACTTCTAGAGAGGCAGAACCCACTAACAATATTAGCTAGCATTTATATAACACTTTAAGGTTTGGAAAGCACTTTCCCAATATTATTTTAGCTTCACAACAACCTTGGGAGATGGCTGCTATTATTATCCCCGCTTTACAGATAAGTGAATTGAGGCAGAGGTTAAGTTACTTTCCCTGGGTCACATGACTAGTCAGTGTCTGAAGCTAGATTTAGATGCAGGCCTTTCTGACTTTCCGCAGTGTTCCACCTAGCTGTGCCCAAAGGCAGTACATTACACAAATGACTAGCTCTAATTCTTAAGAATTAGAATCTTAGGGGTCAGCTAGGTGGTGCAGTGGATAGAGCACCAGCCCTGAAGTCAGGAGCACCTGAGTTCAAATCCAGCCTCAGACCAAACACATGACACTTAGTAGCTGTGTGACCCTGGGCAAGTCACTTAACCCCAACTGCCTAAAACAAACAAACAAAAAAAGAAGTAGAATCTTAGTTACATTAAGTTTCAATCTACTTCCCTGCAATTTCCACCCACTGCTCCTACTTCTGCCCTTTGTTGCCAACCAAAACAAGTCTATTCCCTTTTCTATATATAATGCAAAATATTCCATAACAAAGGACAAAATTCCCATAGCCTGCCAGTCTTAAAGCCAGAGTGAAAATATCAAAACCTTTTAAAAGGATGCATTAAATCCAAGGGAAGTGGCTTCATACTGCGAGATGAGCATCTTCCTGAGGGAAAGAGACCTTGGTTTGAGCCTGGGCTCTGCCATTTTATTACTATACGATCTCAAAGGAAAGGACCAGATGCTATTTTCCAGCTCTGACATTCTGGGTAAGAACTCTAACCTGCAGCTGAGTCCATGCCTTTGTTTTCAAGAATGGCTGAAATCATTCCACTGATACACTAAGCTCTTCCACAGCGTGGTGAAGTCTAATGAATCACACGGTCCTTCAACATCCCCTTTCAAAGAGTGTCATACCTCCAGGAGCTGGCTCAGTAATGCTCGATACCCACCCAAAGATTCTGGCCCAAATAGTACTGGGATCACAAATGCCCAGAATTCATAACAAAAAAAAAATATGGTTTGGGGCAATGGTTTTCAAACATATTACTGTATGTATAGGAAACTTCTAGGAACCTACTGAAATGTTTTTCTTTTATTAAAGAGCCACACATTGGCAGGGCTCATTCCCCTGGAGCCTTTCATGATTTCTCTAGCCCTTGCTAGAATTCCAGTCTGATTCCTGGTTCTCTGCATCCCCAGCCATAAAGAAAGCAATTTAATAAAGATTTTGACCTTTGTTGGCCATTCTGCCAAAAAAGAACTCCTCCTTATGTTAAATGTGGCCCATTCAAAATTCTTTGTATTACAATAATATCAGAGAGGGTAGACAGGGAAACTCAATCAAATCATCTAATCTAAAGCTATTTCTGCATCCTCTTCCCCTATTAATTTCCTCCATTTTAAAGTCTAAGTATGCCTTCTTTCTCCTGAATTTACATTTCTCACATATGTGCCAGCCCTAGAAAAAGTAACAAACTGGGGTTATTGTTTTCGAGAATGGTACAAACCATTGGGAGTGACTTTCCCCTGCCCCCTTCTCCCTTTCCAAGGAAAAGGGACGTTGAAACCAGCTAAGATACAGCAGTATGTAAAATTTGTTTGCAAAATATTCTACTTGATTATCCAGGTACTGACCCTCTACTTTGTACACCGTTAGGTCTTTACCATCTTCTCTGCCTCCAACTTCCTAAAACTCCTCTTAGAAAGAGGCAATTTCACCACTCCTTGGTTACTTCCACCAGAAACTAGGCAGGACTTTGGAACAGTTAAAACCTTCATCAATACTTATACAAGCTCTTTCATAGTGACAAAAAAACTGGAAAATAAGGCGGTGCCACCATCAACTGGGAAATGACAGAAGAAATGATGGCATGTGAATTGGTAGAATATTATTGTGCTATAAAAATGCTGAAAGGGATTGTTTCAGAATGACTTGAGAAGACTTGTATGAATTGATGCAGAATGAGGCAAACAGAAGTAGGAGAAGACTTCATACAAACCACAACAATGGAAAGAGAAACAACTTAAAAAAAACCTTTACTATACATATGTCACCAGAGTTTGGGTTTCCACCCCTCTAGGAGGGAGATGCTAGGTAGCACAGCATATAAAATGTGGGAGTAGAGAGTCAGAAAGGCTGAGTTCAGATTCTGCCTCAGACAAGATAGCTGTGTGAGTCTGGACAAGTCATTTAACTTCTCTCAGACTCAGTTTCCTCATCTGTAAAATGGGGATGATAATAGCTCCTACCTCCCAGAGTTGTTAAGAAGATCAAATGAGATGTTTGCAAAACACCTTGAAAACCTTAAAGAATTACATAAATTGGGGAAGCTAGCTGATGCAGTGGATAGAGCTCTGGCCTTCGAGTCAGGAGGACCCAAGTTCAAATCCGGTTTCAGACACATAATACTCACTAGCTGTGTGACCCTGGGCAAGTCATTTAACCCCATTGCCTAGTCAAAAACAAATTACATAAATTCTAGCTATTATTAGAGATTTTTATTCACTGAAAAAAATTATACTAAAACAAAAACCTAATTTGTCCATTTTCCCATAACTCTGGCATACTACTCAGAGCTGCAGAGTGTCTTTAAATGTCGTTCAGTTGGGGCCAACTCTTTGTGACCCCATGGCCCATAGCATGCCAGGCCCTTCTCTCCTCCATTATCTCTTGAATTCTGTCCAAGTTCACATTCATTGTTTCCATGACATTATCTATCCATCTCATCCTCTGCCGTCCCCTTTTCCTTCTGCCTTCAATCTTTCCCAACAGCAGCATCTTTTCCAATGAGTCCTGTCTTCTCATTATGTGGCTAAAGTATTTAAATTTCAGCTTCAGTATTTGACCTCCCAATGAATAGCCTGAATTAATTCTTCTTAAGTACTGACCGATTTGATCTCTCTCTCTTTTTTTTTTGGTCTAGGCAATGGGACAACTTGGCATTTCGCATAATGAACTCCCCATATAAGTTAAGTAAATAAAATGACAATATACAGCCCTGTTGTACTCCTTTTCCGATCTTAAACCAAGCAATCGCTCCATGTTCAGTTTTAACTATTGCTTCTTGGCTTGCATACAAGTTCCTCAGGAGACAGGTAAGATGACCTGGTACTCCCATCTCTTCAAAGACGTGCCACATTTTGCTGTGATCCACACAGTCAAAGACTTTAGTGTAGTCAATAAAGCAGAAGTAGATGCTTTTCTGGAATGCCCTTGCTTTCTCCATAATGCAGCAAATGATGGCAACTTGGTCTCTAATTCCTCTGCCTCTTTGAAAACCAGCCTGCTCTTCTGGCAATTCTCGGTTCACATATTGCTGAAGCCTAGTTGGCAGAATCTTAAGCATGATCTTCTGGTATGTGAAATGAGTGCAACTGTTTGGTAATTTGAACATTCCTTGGCATTGCCCTTCTTTAGGACTGGGACATAAACTGATCTTTTCCAATCCAGTGGCCACTGTAGTATTTTCCAAATTTGCTGGCATAT